GATATGTAATGGGTTTTATCAAAATTTAATGAGAGTAAATTGGCTTTGAACCATCTGTTTAAGGCTTCAAATACAATATTTATGTCATTTTTAAAGTTTTCAAATTTAGAGTTCTTAAATATTATACTAGTGTCATCTGCATATAGAATTGGTTTAGATTTATTGTTGATGGTTTTAGATAGATCATTTATGTAGAGAAGAAAAAGTAAGGGACCTAAAATTGATCCTTGTGGAACACCGTGCTTTATAATTCCCCAGTTTGAAAATGCATTATGACTGGAGTTTTTATTATTTATTTCAACTCTTTGATACCTGTTTTTGAGGTATGATTTGATCCATTCATTAGCTTTGCCAGTTATTCCATAGAAATTTAATTTTGATAGTAAGATATCATGATTAACACAATCGAAAGCTTTTGCTAGATCACAGAAAATCCCTCCCACACACATTTGTCACAATAGTGACAAATGTGTGTCAGACAATCAAAAATCTAAATAATTGGTTTAAATTTTCATCCAAGGGGAAAACAATATTATAAAAACAATATTGCAGCATGTACAGCTGTTGCTGTGCAAGAGTCAAATAAGCAATGGTGTTAGGCAGCCTGTTTCTAAGCAACCTATCAGTAAACATGTTCCCACAGAAATCATTACTAACACAATATTATATTTAAGCATCCTCTTACACTCTACACAATATATGACACAAACTCCGTCCTAAGTGCAACAATTTATTGTAGACATAGAGAAGGTACCCTTGAGAATTTTAAATTTTAAAATTTGAAAAAATCTTAAAGAAATGTTTAAATTTGTATTGAATATTTTAAAAATGCCAGTTCTTTGAAAATCAAATTGACGTGTGTAGGTTAGCAAAGATTTTGTACATATCTTACAGATATCAGCAGGGATGATTCTGATATATCAAAACCTGTTAGCAACGGAGTAGTGAACAAATGGGAAGACTGGTGTTTTTGAAATTTTAAACTACGTGCAATGTAGCAACTACGTGAGAGTATACACCTGATGATGGCCATTTACGGCCGAAACATGTAGTGTAGAAGAAAGGAAGATGAAAGAACTACAATAAATTGTTGCACTTAGGACGGAGTTTGTGTCATAGATTACTAACACAATGAAAGAGTGACCATTGGAAATGGGTATCTACTTTGTCCGCACAAAGGGGTTATAAGGAAGAAAACTGGGCTGACCCATTTAGCTGTCAGTTGTCAGCTGCAAGCTGAGTTCTGGATGGGAGGCAGTGAAGATAGAACCTGAGTGCACAAAGCTAAAGAATCTCTACTCTTAGAAGCTACTGGCAGGGAAGAGCTGATGAAGTCACAGCAGTCTGGAGAAAAGTTTGGTAGGTGCTGTAGTGATTTGTAAAGTGTGGAGATTAGTTATAGCACTGTAAATGCTTGCAGTTCTGAGTTATGAGTGTATAAGTGGTTAATAAATCCATTCACCAGTTTAAACATAGTCTACAATCACACTTAAAATGTGACAATATGATATACTGTACTATTAAGACAATAAACATTAAAAGCTTCTAAAACAGGTGATGCAAGAGAAATTAATAAATGTAATTACAAATTAACATTTTCAAAAAATTTATTTGAAAAAGTACAACAGCTGTGTTTCTTTAGGAGATGCATTGCTTGGTTGCAGTGATTCGGTTAACTGGCAATTCAGATAATTGGCATTCTACTATAATTTTGTTGGTGACAGTCAAGGACAACTTACCAGTGATGCCAAGCCAGTAGGAAATTTGGTTGGCAAGCATAGCTCGAACACAACCTGTCAACCCATATCCATTTTCATGTGGTATACTGCAGCACCACATGCTTTCTGTCTCACTGCATATAGCACCAACAAAAACTCCAGTCCTCTGCCCCTTGAGGAGACAAGGGTTGACACCTTAACATAAGAAGATTGTAAGAGAACACAGCATATGCTTAACAGACAGTTGTATAGAAAGAATTATGAATTAAATGCTAGAATCCATGCTCTTCTATTTACTTCAATAACATGAAAGTGCAGCTATAATTTCTACTTTGTGAAGAAGACGATGTAAATGGTGTGGAGGTGTTCCACCGCACTCCTTACTCTCTTGGGCTGTCATGGATGGTGAACTAAAGCTGCAGACCTCTTTATTATATCCGTCACAACACAACTAATATCAAGATCAGACCATTTTCAGCCCTGCTACATGTTTCAGCTATTGATAGCCATCATAAATTATAAAGCTGCAGAGTTGACACTCTGGAAGATGTCAAAAAGCATTTAATAAATGCATGGTTAACTGAAAGTAACATGTATTCATCTGAGCAGTGTACTTTGAGTGAGACAGCAATGATGAAAAAAGAGAAGGCAGCACATGTACAACATACTGTGTACATCAACATGCAAGCTAACCTGCATCCACAATGGCCTCATATGCTCTCTCCAGCAGCAGACGACACTGTGGATCCATGATGTGTGCCTGCTTGTAGTTAATTCCAAAGAATGAGGCATCAAACTTGGAAACATTAGGCACCCTGCCTGCAAACCCGGGAACCTTAGGGTGATCTATACAGAAAATATTATCACAAAATTGTATTAGCTTAGATATACACGGTTCATTCAATTTAAGCATAGATCACTATTTCAAACTGAGATAAAAAATTTAGTGAAGATAAAATTAGATATGGGAAGATGGAAAGACTTTGCAGAACTAATCCAGAGGTAGCAGCAACAGTAATGTCAGCAACTGGTACACTGTGTAAGATTTGAGGTTTTCACGGCAGTGCACCTGCTCACACTGGTTCACTCACGGATTTTTTCTTGTCTTCTACCCTGAAGATGGAGGCAATACGTTCCTCCAAAAAGTCGGTTAACACGATATCTCTACGGTGCCACATCCCAGAAGACTGCTTTCTTCAACTGATATACTATTTTCCATCGTACATCAACATAAGGCAGTGTATACCTGGTTACAGCACTTACATCATATCAGGCCATCGCAAAATATAAACATGAGAAATTTAACATTATGTGATGTTTGGAGATGTACAAGTCTGGATGAAAATAGGGAAGCAGAGTGTCATACTTATGCAAGATAAATTAGTTCCTGAGGAAGCCCAGTAACTAATTTGGATTATTTTGATCTGTCCTTTTAATGATGTGTGAACAGAAACTAGTCCACAGCAATGTCTTACCCAGTATTCATTTGACTGTAATAAGGACAAAAAACTATATGATTTAACTCTCAGCATATAATACATATTTTTTTTAATTTATATACAAGGTGTCAAATTCTCATTTTCTTTTTAAAAAGATATAAACTGTATATTTGCTGGAAGGGCCTAGCCATAATGCATAGTGGTATAAAATTTGGTGAATCTGTGGGATCGTCGATGTTTGAAATGACAATCACTCGAAACTCTTAACACTTGTATATATATATATTGAATTATTTGAACTGATTTACAAAATAGCAGAACATGGAATACATGTGAAATATTCAAAGCTGTCTGGCCCTCTACGGGCAGTTCTTTCTGCCGCGAGTGTACCGGTAAATATGGTTGACTCGCCCGATTGCTGGAGCGGCATTCGCTGCCTGGTCACTGTCGTCGCTGTCGTCACTGTAGACTTGTGGTCACAGGAGGCTTGCTGTGTGGTCACAGAAGACTTGCGGCAGCTACGTCTGTGGCGTCAGTGGAGAGTTGATGGCTGAACGTGCCGTGCCGGATGCGTGTTCACTGGTCTTGCGAGTCAAGAGCGTCAAGAGTCACGTTGCAACTGACGGTCACTCAGTCTGTCTGTCTGTCTGTCTGTCAGCTGGGGCTCATGACAAGATATTTCTTTTGAATGAAATTTACTGTCTTGTCTATGTGTAGCGCCCTCTCTGACGAGAGGTCGGGTCTGTCATTTGTTAGTCAGTCTGTATTACTAAGTCCACTGTCTGTATTTACACATATTTACAATACACACTTATTTCTTATTTAAATGTACAATATATACACGGCCTCTGCCAGTCCAGGCTAGGTACAGCAGATTATGCCCTTATATATATATATATATTTCCTAGTGGTTTTAGCTACCACGGCAGTCTAGTCACTTAAACGGTCGTATGCCTGACCGTCGCCAAGTTTAAGCCTTGCGAACATTCTCATTATCATGATTTTGTATGACTTCTGCTTGTTGCCTGCATAATTTTGTTATGTAATCATATACGTACGGGATTTTGAATGCCATGTGCAAATCGCGGACCGGTGTGCGCATTGGAAAATTGCCA